TTATACAGATCTGTATACAAAAAATTACAAAGAAGTGCAATCTCACTATACAATAATTATACATTTTTTATACAGATCTGTATACAAAAAATTACAGAGAAGTGCAATCTCACTATACAATAATTATACATTTTTTATACATATTTGTATAAAAAATTACAGAGAAGTGCAATCTTATTATACAATAATTATACATTTTTATACAGATCTGTATACAAAAAATTACAGAGAAGTGCAATCTCATAAGTAGAAATCATACCTTGTTGTAGATGATCTATCCACTATAAACTGACATTTTTTCCGTATTGCGTAGTGCTTCATTACACTAATGAGTGTATCTTTGTCCCAATACAACTGACCTTCTACAATTTCTTCATGTTGTGGATTGTCTATTATACAATTTCCCTTCAATATCTCAATTTTGTCTTCCTTTACATGATTATCCATCATCTCAACAATATTAGTTCCATGTACTTCTTTTACGTTCTGACATTGTAAACCAACTGAAGTTGTTGCGAGTAAGTTTCCAGCTAAAGTTGTTGCAAGTAAGTTGCCACCCAAGTATGAACATGAATATGAGCATTCAACACTTGAATATACAGTTTTCAATGTTATGCATAATGGATATTCAGTGATATCCAGGTTTTTCTTTTTTCATTTCCATATACAAGCGCACACTCATATCATTGTATATTGGAATTGCTACATAGCTATCCTTCACTGTATATTTTATCTCCATTGCACTCGTAATTGAATCTCTACCCAATTTCTTGTATATTTCATCAACAAAATAATCATAGCTACAGTCCGAATTGATCAACACGCCATTAACAAGGAAATTAACAAATTTACTCTCACTTACCCATTCACCACTGTGTTGAAGTAAAATCGGAATCAAAGTTGGAATTGTAGTTCCAACATTCACAATCTCCATAGACATTTGTCGATTTTGTATCAATTTCACAATTTAAGAACGAAATCTCAACTCTATTAAGCTGATTGTAGGCAGCAATTGTGCAAAAAAATTGAATTTCAGCGTGAATTTTTGGGAGCTCTTCTCTAGGTTTAATCTTCAGAAACCCTAGAATTTCTTTCACAATGTGAATAATTGCGCGACTTTTATAGTGTTTGGAGGTTGAAGATCCCATACTGAATGCGTGAATTTAGGATACAAAATCGATTAGGACTGCTTTCCTTTTCGTTTGCGTTAAGCGTATAGTTTCAGCTTTTTCAGTTGCTAGCCTTTGTTATTGTTTTGAGGTTATTACTTGTAAGGGGTTATTTTGTGGCTATCAGGTAATATAAGTTTGGCCCTAGTGGCTACAAATGAAGTTTGCTCGTAATAAAATATAGTCAATTGAATACTAAAAGGCGGAAAACTTTACTATGTGTCTTACACAATTGACACTAATTGTGTGAGGGTTTGTTTTGTATCACAACAAATCAGACCTAATTCTTACATTTGAGTCCGCAAAAACTTGAATTCATTTTGTTGTGAGACAAAACAAAAATTCACTCAACTAGTGTTAATTGTGTGAGGTACAGAATAAATTTTTTCCCTAAAAAGGAGTAGTAACATAATGTGCGAGTCTTAGAACACGAAGCAAGTCGACAAAAGTTATAAAAATAAAATAATAATAATTAGTGATTGATAATGGTGGGGTGGTGATAATGGAATTAATTGAAAGGTGTCATGTTAGAGAGTAAGAGTCTTAACTGGCAATTTATACCTGGCCTAGCAGAGATAAAATAGATACATAATAAAATAACAAGGTGTAAATTGATTAATTGTGGCATATGTTTGACAGCGGTGTTTGATAATCCATTGGTCAAGGATATGAGTACTATACTGATGGCATCTTCATCAAGTTTTATTCAAAATAAAATAAAATAAAATAATTGTGAGGAATTAGATAGATTGTCATTTTCAAAAGGACTTAGGATAACTCTTCGTCGTCCATCTCCCTCAAATATTTAATCAACCTTTTAGTTTTTGTAGACTGCAATTCGTTTGAAGAATGACTGGTTCTTTGAAAATTGGACGAACTAATTAAGAGAATGACGTTAGACGCTTATATTATATTCTCTTCTATGCTTTTATATCTCTTTGTCTCTTTGTATAAATTATTTCTCCTAACGGCTATATTACCGTAGCCCTTATTTTGTTGACTTTTTCTTTCTTTAACCTAGTCGACAACTTTAAACATGTAAAGATTATAAATAATTCCTTACTTTTATTTTTCATGTAACATTATTTTCTTATTAATTTATTAAAAACATATTAATATATTTAAAATCATTTAATTTAAACTTTTATTTATCATTAAGAGGAATCTTTTATAAATGAATTTGTGTCATTATTTTAAACTTTTATTTATCATTAAGAGGAATCTTTTATAAATGCAAAAGTTATGGTAATATATAAGACCATAAATTTTAAAAGTTTTTTTTTTTATTTTAAACTCTATATCAGCTAAATTATGTTATATAAATTGGAACAAAATGAAAGGGCTATTTTTTTTTTCCTGCACGAGCATTGAAAGCTTTCCCTTTTCACTAAAATGAAAACAACCTCGATGATCTTTATTTACTTAGAGCCCGTTTGGACATAAGAATTTTTTTCATCTTTTTTCGAAAAAAATTAACTTTTTTCGAAATCAGTATTTGGCCATAAAATTTGAATTTTGAAATTTTTCAAAAATTTGAAAAACTCCAAAAGGTTGTTTTCAAAATTTTCACTCAGATCACTCACAAAATTTTAAAAACAACCCAAAATTATATTTATGCCCAAACACAACTCTAATTTTTAAATACCATTTTTACTTGAATTTTATTTTTATTTTTAAATTTTCCAATTCTTATATCCGAACGCCCACTTAGAAATAGTTATTCTACAGATCGAGCAATGTGAATTTGATTTAAAGCGCGTCCAAAGCATAATTACAAAGTGGAAGAAATTGGGAGATACTAATTGCATTATTGGCATCCAGTTTATTAAAGTAATTGACAAGACAAAAAGAGGAAGCATGTATAATCCTAATAGCTAAAATAAAAGAATGTCGACTTCAATCAAATAGAAATTTAGAAGAAAACAAAAGCTTGAAGCAAATACGTGGATGCAAATAGCAAAGGCCAAGGGTACATAATGATTGCCTTTATTTATCTCGTCAAGTCATTGAAATTGTGATCACCAGCAAATCATTCTTTGTTTAACATAAGTTATTTTAAAAAGTTTTCCATAAGTAAATTAGAATAAAAGTTGTCATCCATTTGAGTCAAATCGGTTGTGCCCCTAAGGATAAAAACAAGAAAATGACTTGCGACTTGAACTGCGAAAACGATATATTTGATCAACGTCAATTTTTTTTTACCTCAAATACATTGTGTCTATTAAACTTCCCAAAACCTAGGATTTACTCTACTTGTGTCTCTCGTGATCGTATTTGCAGCCCCTATCAACTTCTTTTTTTTCTAAAACAACAGGACACGCACGTTAATTATTTTTATTAAGCAAGAAGGAGAAACAACCTCGCATATTTTTGTCTTTGCTACAACTTACTGCCCCCTCCATTTGTTTCTAGTTTTATTTCTCCTAATCCTCAAAGATGAAAGGTTGAAACAGTTGAACTCTGTTTTCTAAGCTTTATCAATACCAAATTACTTAATTCTTCGTATTAAAACTAGGGTGATTTTTTTCCCGGCCAAAATTGTCCCTGAGAAATGAAGCAATTTGACCATCCGTTAATAATTGGGGCCAGATATACCCCTACCATTACCAAATTGGCTCAAATATATCCTTATTGACTAAAGGTCAACTATTAAGAAAGTAATTAATCTTTCATCGAATCAATATTTGCCACATGTCCGAGCTTAAAATTAATCCAACCCCAAACATTATAAACCCTCTCTTTTCCTCTTCATCTTCTCACACCACCACTCCTCTGCCAGCAACCATCGCCGGAAATTTCCCCGATGACCTCCCCATCTTTATCTTTTCCCTCCTAAACCCACAATTAAACCTTCATTAAAAATCAATAAACAAATAATGAGGTTTAAAGATCATGAAATTCACATGAACATGAAGTTGCAGATTCAAGAAAGAAAAGAATTCCACATTACAAGATGCAACCTATGTGAGATAGGAGATGACTATAATTATCCGAGTGACTACTAAGCTAAAAGGATCTAAGTATATTTCTTCAGAGATTTCAATAAAGATTTATTTGATTTGTAATTTATGTGGGAACTTGTGATAATGGAGAAAGCTTTAGCCGTGGGGGGAAACTAACACTGCCAGAACCAGCATAAGAAAACCAATTGGCGTCTTGGATAGATAAGAAAGTCATTAGCTTTCCTTGTCCCCAAGGATTCATTAATTTTGTTCCAAAAATCACATTACTTTTCCAACAAAGAACTGATGATTTACATATTCACAATAAATTTAAAATATTGTCTAAGAATCAGGGAAAATTGTGACCTAGTTCGCTAAAATAACCAATTGAGCTATAGATTATAGTTCTAATATGAGCTCGAAATTTCCGACCATGGCCGCTGGTAGAGAGGAGTCATGGTGTGAGAAGATGAGGAGGAAGAGAAAGAATTTTTAATGTTTGGGGTTGGTTTAATTTTAAGCTTGGACAAATACTGATTCGACGAAAAAATTAAAATAGTTGACTGTTAGTTAAGAGTATATTTGAGCCCATTTGATAACGGTAGGGTATATTCGACCCCAACTATTTAGGAAGGATAAAATTGCTCTACATCTCATAGTTCAGAGGCAATTTTGGACCTTTTTAATTTATTTATTTTTTAATCTAGCGTAATATATATGAATTATACTGGGTTTTTTTTTAAACTAGCATAATATATATGTAGAATTATACTCGAGATATCAAATGAAAGAACGATGGATTAAACTACGTAAGTATCATACAACACAAAGCCTACATTACTACTCTTGCAATGTTTTCTTGGAAAAGGAAACTTTTTTGGTCAGAACATCCTGTAAACCTAATCAAGTACTAGTATATATTCAAATGTATAATAAAGAGTATCCAAAATGTATGATTTATGGACAACTAAACTAATATTGTATACATACATTTACTTAAACAGTTACTAACTAATCCGCAGATATCCATAAAATGCAGAAGAAAAAGACAAAAACCAAAGCAAACCCACTTTTCTCAGTCCACAAAGCTGAACAGAATCATCAGCTTTAGCAGCCCCATTTCAGAATCTCAAAGCTGCTCGGAATTAAACTCTCACCAGTAGCAGAAGCAGACTGCTCCAGAAAATAACCACAAAAATCACTATCAGTAGATGCCCACCACGGCGAGTACAACCACCCTTCAACCGAGTCACTCAACCTCAACTCAGTCTTCGTCTCCTCGCTTTCCTCTAAATTAGGCAGCTCTATAATTTCTCCTAATTCCTCTGAGCCCGCTGATGTTATTGTAGTTGACGAAGAAGATGAGGATGAAGATGAGAGAGAAGTTAGGTTCAAATTCATTGCAGCTGCTTTAGCAGCAGCAGCTTGAACATCTCTAGGTAAATTCGACACTGGACGTGGCAGAGAGTCGATGAGATTAGGGAAATTTAGAATGGCGGAATTTCCTTTAATACTCAGCGCGGCCACGTCATGTGCTCTAGCGGCCATTTCTGCTGTAGGATAAGTACCGAGCCAAATACGTGATTTTTTTCTAGGTTCACGAATTTCAGATACCCATTTTCCCCAACTTCTCATCCTAACTCCTCTGTAAACTTGATTTTGTACGCTGTTCTCATTGTTAATCGTCTCTCTTTTTCTCTTCGTCGGTGGTTTTTTATCTTCTGGTAATTCCTTAGACGAGTCAAAAACCGAGTTGTGCATGGACTCAGAGGACAATGAGGAGGAAGAAGAAGAGGTATTAGAACTAGAGCTCTCTGTTTCTGGACATGGTACTTCAACTTCAGCCATTAATGTAGTGAGGCAGTGATCCCGTGATGACTGAACAAGTCGTTTATGCAATAAAGCTCTTAATAGAGATTGCTTTATTGGGTGGGGAAGTATCCCTATATATTGAATGCCAAAACAGAGCTCATTATGTTACTACCAAGTGAGGTAGACAAAAAATCTCTCTCTCTCTCTCTCTCTCTCTCTCTGTGTGTTAAGTTTCAAACTTTCCAGAAACAGGTGAGCAATGAAAATGAAAGATGAAAGAAACGACAAAGTTTATGAAGTGCCCGTTGGGTATGGACTATGGACTATGGAAGAGAGAGTGACAAGGAAATAGGAGCGGGCTTTTTTATAGCGAAAAGAGACGAATTCACTTCATTGCTGATGTGATATGTACGATTTATACGTCGCGTATCCTAAATGCGTTTTATAAGTCGCAGACCACCAAATGCAATTATAGTTCCACCTTTTCTACAAATCAACTATTGACCTGCCAATGTAGCATATACACAAAACAAAACTATACAAAATTACCTTAGCATATATGACATAGAAGAATTTTTTTCATCATTAACAAAAGATTTGAGTTTTCCTAGTAAGAGAAATTCTTTGCAAAGGAGTGCATCCCCTTAAATGGGTCTACTATAAATTTGAATTAAACAAACTAGTAAATTTCGAATGGCAAATGAACGAACCAATAGTTATGCGTATTTGAATTACTCTTACTAGTAAATTCCAATTACCAAATGGTTATACCAAAAACTTTACAAAGCAATACCCTGAATGTTTTCAACCTAAAATCTATCTATTAGAATAATTTTATAATGATTATTAAAGGTGAGTGAAGATATTTAAATTAATTCCTATGCCAATACATAAAGAGGACTCACAAGAGGAATGGGTCAGCTAGTGTACAAAAAGGTACCCTCAATTCTGTGTACAAAAGCCACGAGAAAATGGCCCCACTACCACTAGATTGTTGTTGTTCATCGAGCAAATGTTAAGGGTTTACTTTAGTTTTCCTGTTGGTGGAATAACATTAGAGTCCGCAATCAAAATGTGATTCTTTTGGACAAGTAGCACTTTAATATGTGTAAAAAAATAAAGATGATATTTATATATATAGCGCCCAAATATTGGGCGCTATACATTAACATTAATTGTGTCGTTAATGTATAGCGTCCAATATTTGGGCGTTATATATAAAAAGCTAACACTAATAGATATAGCGCCCAAAAACTCAGCGCTACACATATTTTAAAAATCAAGTCGTCTTCCTCAAGACGACGATTCTGCTTCTTCTTCCTCAATATTTTACATATTCTTCTTCTTGGTCCCCCACTCCCATACCCGTTGCCCCACCATTTTAAAAAAAAAGGGTCTCCCGTCACATAAAAGGTGAAGAACGTAGGTCCCACATTCGAGTAGAGCTTCGTATTATTGTTGATTTACACTTCCGGAGTCAAAATTTCAATCTATTTGCTTTCCGAAAATTCTAAATTTAGGTATTTCGATTTTTATTTTAAGTTGAAACTTTTATAATAATGCATATTATTTGATTTGTATGTGTTCTATTTCGGTTTGTGTTTTTTTCTCGAAATTAGTATGTTAAATTTATCCGAATTTAATATTAGTGTTTTATAAAAAAAAAATATAAATTTATCAAATAAATTTGTCTGTTAATATCCTGATTTATATGTGTGTGTTTTCATGCCGTTTTGTGTTTTATTTGCAATTAAATTTATTTGTTGTTTATGTTTAGTTTAGATTATTTTTTAGCGCAGTAAAATCTAGATCTTTTTAACGTAGTAAAATGTAGACCATTTTAGCGTAGTAAAATTTAGAGCCTTATAGCGTAGTAATGTGTAGTATTTTAGCTTAAAATTTCTTTTGTTTAAGTATCTTATACTGGTAGTTGAAAATGCAAACTTTATACAATTAAGTTAATAATTGTATCAACACACATAATTACTAATGTTAATTTGGTGTCACTGGGCCTCAAAATATCGAGCCCGGAACCCATAGGTATATATATATTGTACAATTAAGTTATTAAAATATGAATTTAAATTATAAAACAAACACATAATTATTAATGATAGTTTGGTGTCACTAGGCCTCAAAATATCGAGCCCAGAACCCAAAGGTATGTATATATATGAATAGGATCGAGCTTGGAACCCATAGGTATAATTTTTGTATAACGCTAAAAAGTGTGTATCTCAAAAAATTAATATTTAATATACAGAATAAAATACAATTAATGTTGTTTTAATTTACAGTTGACGACATGGACGCGACTATACATCTCGGCCCTCGGACATTGGATCTATTAGCCCTACAGGCCCAGCATAGATCCGACTATATATAGGACGGACAGTTGCTTACGTAGACTTTCCGATCCAGGAAAGTGGATCTATTGTGGGAGTTTTTGAGTCATAGAGTTATACATCCCCACGTGGTTCCTTACTTGGAGGAGATGGGATTATATAGGATTATTAGGATTGGCCGGATACAGCTCGACTGGGCTTTGATCACGACCTTGATTGAGCGATGGCGACCGGAGACGCACACTTTCCATCTGCCCATCGACGAGGCCACCATCACACTCTAGGACGCTTAGATTTTATATGACCTGTCCGCTGATGACTTGCCAGTTTTACTGCCTGCGACCATGAGATATTATTCGTTGCAGTCTTATTGGGATATGCTGCACATGCTTACGGGTTTCAATGCGGAGGACGAGACTGTAGCGTCTAGGTCCAGTCGTATGCAATTGGTCCCCATTAGAGACTACCTGGAGCAGATCCACCATACTATCTCCGACGAGTCAGCGGAGGTGGATGTACAGCGATATACGAGTCTGTTGTTGCTCCTTGTACTTGGGGGGGTCTTGTTCCCGAACACTTCGGGAACCTAGTGAGCCTTCATTTTCTGCATCATATTGACCGGTTTGAGGATACAGCCATCTACAGCTGGGGTGGTGCTGTCATCTCATATTTGTATAGGCAGATGTGCCGGGGTTGCATCGGCACACAGAGAGATGTTGGTAGCTTTCTACCGCTTCTACAGGTGACAACATATTCAAATAATATGTTCATTAGTTACAATTCTACCTAGTTATAGATAATCTTATACTTTACGTCAACTTTGTATGTTAGGTTTGGGTCTGTGAGTGATTTCTGCAGTTTCAGCCACCTCTACCACAGCTACCGGCTAATGTAGAAATTCCGCATCTCCCTCTAGCCTGTAGGTGGGTTATGCGTCGTACTCTTGCACGAGAGTATGATGCCCATCATAATCTCCCCCTCTGCAAGGATGTGTTGGATCTGCTAGAGGACGCACTGGTGAATATCTAACTAAACTTACCTGTTATAGATTAACTTAGTGTTGCGCATACTAACGGTTTGTATTCTTATTTGATAGTTCATCTGGACGCCTTACTGCGGTGAGGTGATAGGTACCCTACCAGCGTATTGCACGTTCGGCCGACATATTTGGAGGACTTCTGTCCCGCTCATATGCCTCGATTTTGTCAAGCATCATGCCTCCGAGCGGGTATTTCGTCAGTTTGGCCTGCCGCAACCTATACCGAGTCCGCCTGCATGGCTTGTTTTACATTATGAGAGGGATGATCGGTCCAGGACGGACGACACATTTATGGCATGGCTTGACGAGCAGTTGGGTACTTGGGACAAGCGAGGGGACTTGACCCCACCTCCGCAGCACTTTCCTATTCAACGTTATATGGCATGGTACCGCACTATTTCCCGACTTTTTATCGGGAACCCAGTTCATCAGGTATATGGTCGGTACGTCCCATAAGCCGGGAGACACGAGGCCCTGGTTTGTTTTCTGTTATTATTAATTATATACCTGTAATTTAGTGCCAAATATTTAGTTTATATTTTTTACTTTGTGCAGGCGATTGGATTGCATACCGTCTATCTTATGGGGCAGCATATGCAAAGTCATGTCCACGATCATGTGGCCATGCAGGAATATAGTCGTCGATTCATGGATGTGGCTGCCTAGACACTGTAGCGAGCCCGATCAGATCAGCGATTTGGCACACGAGGCTGATTATATGGACCTAGACCACTCGTCTTGTGAATTATGGAAAGCAGGGTGTAAATTATTTTCTCACTGCTCATTCGCTGGTGGTGATTAGTTTAAATCAAGGAAAACTCTTTCATCCGGAACCTGTCCGGTAAAAACTGCTCCAGAATAATCACCCGATGGCTGGGGGTTATCTCTACTACGCACAACCTCGTTTTTTGGAACGTCTTCGACCTTCACGTACATCTCCAACAGATTACAAGAAATTCCCGGCAATCATCCGGAGTCCTCAGAAAATTACTCAAAGTTTCATCATCGTCGATGTTAAACTCCGAGTAAAAAGCAACCCCTTGCGGAGTGACGGAATACGGATATCTTCCGGTTACTTTAAGTATCACTGAACGTTTCCTCACACTCATTTTTTTGCATAACAACGATATCAATTTATCGTACTCCATTGTAAGTGGTAATTTAACATGACACTACGCAGGTAAACTGTAGCCCACGGAGTTATTCTCCATCACAACCTCACCCCCCTCCAATATAATGAAATTCTTATTCTACGCTCTTCAGACATAATGAAAAAATGCTGGAGAATTTAACAACAATAAACGTTTCAACAAGAGTATGGAAATGGATAGCCGGGAAATTTCTACGCTATACACCTTTTGAATGAATTTCTATACAATCCTAACCTCTTTATATAGGAAATGGTTAGTCGGAATTTTTTTTATATATATATAACGCCCAAATAGTGGGTACTATATGCTTTTGAATTATTGAAGTCAGGAATTATTGTTGGGGCCACGAAAAAGGTATATAACGCCCAAATACTGGACACTATACATAAAGTTTTATGTATAACGCCGAATTTTTGGGCGCTATACCTATTAGTGTCAGCTTTTTATATATAGCGCCCAAATACTAGGCGCTATACATTAACGGCACAGTATTTGGGCTCAGTATTTGGACGCTATATATAAAAATGTCATTTTTTTTACATCTATTAAGATGTTATTTGTCCAAAAGAACTACATTTGGTTCCGGCCTCAATAACATCATCGTCATACACGTAACTTTCATTCATGTGTCCGTTGGGGATTGTACAATGCCTTTTGTCCGTTATATACGTGTTCAAACTTCAAAATCTGACCCTGTTGATTCCATATTTCTAGCTCGTGATATGTTTTACTCTTAGCCCTAGGACAGAGTCACAGACACCATTTAAATCGAACTCGTCTTTTGACCATTCTCTGTACAAG